GGTGGTTCTGGATTAGGGTGAACCATCCAGAACCGTGTGTCTGCGCAGGGTCCTGGAGAAAGGACGGTTCTGGATATAACAGTCCCATCGCCTTGTAAGCGGTGTATGTCTCCTGTAAGGTTGACTGGGTCGGGGATTACCACGGTACACTGCAAACGAACAGAACGCAGCTTGTACTGGAACGTGAGACTGTCCTATCTATGTCCGAGCGTGGGAGTGTTGTGTGAGACAAACACTCAAGGAAACCACAGGGCGTTCTTGGAAGGGACTCCAGGGTTAGCAGGTATCTAATAAGTCTGACAAGCGGCATATGTGTCTATTACAGGTGAGGACCCGGTCACATTTGTTGTGCGATCGTCGTATGACATTCTTGGAATAGTCGTGCGTGTGTCGTACCAAATTTAGTTTCAGAGAAAGCTGCCTGGGACTCCAATCGGGAGTTGATTCTGTCACAGCCTGCTTGAAACACGTAAGCAATAAGGAAATCTTATTTTACGATGTACTACGGCGAATGTGACCACGCCTTTGTTACTTAAAAGTAAGTCAGGCATCCTCAACTCATCATGAGGCGAAGCATGATGTTTTTTCCGTCTAGCTAGTTGAAGGGCAATGCACGGTTTCACTTCGGTCTTATCTGTGGGCAACCAACAATTTTTGAAACGAGGTCCGAGGTTCTTGTATATAATGTTTAGGAACCAGGGTATATTCACGCCGAGTTGTACAAAAACAACAGTTATAAGTCCATTTACTTGCAATTTTATCAGACTTACAAAACATTAGTACAATTGCTGTTACTGTGCAATAATATGAAACCAGAGCTTCGAGCTGCGACAGTCGCTAGGTATGATTAAGATCATTTAACTGTTACATAACCGACAGTTATGTAACGTAAAACCATATACGAGGTGTCGGTGTATTGGACGGGACGTGAGGTCATTACTAGTAACTTGCCGCTGGCCAATCAAACTGTACATGTAAATGAAATCTAATCGAGGCTGAACATTTCTAACTCAGTGCCACCTCCCCTGGGCCTGCTATTTCGTCTCTTAATTCAATCATCTTTTCATTGTCCCAATTTATCAAGGTTCCCCATTCATTAAGTACTCAGATGCTATTTGCGATGTCCCACGTCATTATCTTAATAAAGCTTTGGACAACAGACAGCACCTGTACTAGTAAGAGCAACCTGTGCCTCCCCCGGATTGTGAATGGACCCATCCGAACAGAAATAGTCTGGGTTCATTTGTATTACGTCAAAACGAGAGCAAGCAGCGCCTGGCGACAATCACAAGACGTCTTGTTTCTCGCTCAGTGTTTGTCTTGTACATTCCTCGACAGCTCGGCTACCTGAAGCTGGACAGAACGACGACTGTGGAATATCCCAAGACTAAAGGGAGGGACAGAGGTCACCAGCACAAGTTTATAGTCAAGTGTAACAAAGATCTGCACAAGTTTCAGGTACGTGGATGTTGTTTCTTTTCTCATTATTGTCTATGACAGGAATGTCGTCGTTAAGAAGCTATATCGACGGCAGGTAGGCACCATTCTTTATTCTCGATATTACGCCATACGCCCATGATGGGTTTATCAGGTAGTGTTGCAAAATCAAACGTTTGTAAGATGCTCCGAATGTTCTTTGCTGCGTCGCGTAAAACGAACAGAATTTGTTTTGCGACGGGTGAAGTGGTCATTTAACTAATAGGGTGGCTGCCTGGATACTCCTGAATAGAAGAGGCGAAAGAAACGAAAATAGTATAGATATTTTCGCCATATGGAAAAGATCGGCGCAATACATCTGTATATACATCTATGATTAGATTGATTATAACGCCAAAAAACATCGTATTTCCCAGAACTGTTTACGAGCTGCCACTGCGTCCTTTGGTGTAAGGCAGCCCTTCCCTTATGACATCCATATATTGATGCAATCCCACCTACAAAGCTATCTGCTGAAACTGCCGCTCATACCAATGTTTCTGCACTGCCGCTAACGTGGATCAAACGCAACAGGGTCAGACAAATTGGCGGCCTGTTGTTAATGTTGTTATTGTATGTAATGCATCATAGTCAACATTCGCAAAAAGCCATAAACCAGTCTCGAGGGCCCCACTGAATAATAGATGAACCTTAGCGCGTGTGTTGTAGCCATCATGACATCGGTACATTACCCACAATGGTGTATTGTGTCCTTATTACATGTGGCAAAAACAATCATCGCGAACATGCTATAACTAGGTGATAAAACGCCAAATGAGAGAGAAAGGGAGGGAGGTAGTGGGGAAGGGGGTTCTAAATGCATATTGACTTTATTTTCCGTGATTATCACACAGTGTATCGCCTGTGATACACCACCCTGGGCCCACCCCCAACTATATAGAGTTTAAATATGCACTGGTGCATTATACTGGGGAACGTTGCATATTATTGGACATCATCTTAGATGAGGTTTTTCAGGCTGGCGGCTGTAACAGTTACACGGTCTGGTAGATGAATATTTATAGAGCGAAAATATTGCTTGTGGGATGTTGTTTCATCCTTGAATGCTATGCGGACATACATTACAATACATCAATTGCACCCAGTACAATGCACTAATATGTTATCTACGGCTATATGTAACAACAGACATACATGAACTATGAGACTAATCCACCTCACAAAAGACTTTTTTTTTATTCAGCATACAGTAAACAAAATTAGGGTACAGGACACAGTGACGACGGGCTCAAGTTACGTAACTTATGTTAGCGCCGCCACTTATACGAATAAAACTAATATTACTAGACAATACAAAACACTAACGAAGAATACACGTGAAAGAAAAACACAGTCGAATTGATGAAGCGAGAGTCCACATTCCCCACCCAAGGTGAGAAGGACACAATAGAATTAAAAACGTTTTGTTGCTGCAAAAGACTTTGTAGAACGGAATGAGAATGTGCGTTTGCAATCATTGGTTGACTTTTTACAGTTTGTGTTTTTTTTCTAAATATTGCTCTATATCCTTGAAATGTCAATATGTAGTTAAATTTGCTATTTGAATCCATTGAGAGGAATTCTGGCGTGGGATGTGATAGACCTGTATATAGTTAATTACGCATATCAAAATATTTGGAAGAAAGGGATGGTCGTCTTCCATTCAATGTCAACAGCGGATCGCAAAGCTACCGCTGTACACGTACGTACCAAACCCTGTAGCTAGCCCCGCCCACAATCAACAACCATGATAGCATGACGGGTGGTTGGGTCCACAAGGGGTCACACGAACACCTGACAAACACCCGCATCCTGTTGGGAAACACCATAACGTGAACAGGGCGAGGCAGGGAAATCTGCGGTGTTTGTGGGTGTTGCTGTTGAAACGACAGGGTTATTAACAGGTGTGTGTGTGTTGTATCAGATTCTGCTGTGCCGTGTTGTGTTTCTTCTTCCCTGAAACAATCTCGTCGATAACCTTTGGGACAGAAGACATTACATGGTTACAGTGTAAACACGTTTGCTAGTACTCTGTACGGTGTATGAGTCGAGTTAAATTGAAAACTACAGTGAATGAACTCCCTTTCGTATGCTTGTTAATGTGAGACCACAGTCATTAATGTCTGACTAAGTGGGGTGTATTATAATTATTGGTGAGGGATAGAGAGGGAGCGATGGAGGATATTTGTGTGGAGAGACGTGGCATGGCCTCTACCAGGCTTCGGGAAAAATTACAACTTAGCCAAATACATAACATGCAAGTGAAGCTGGTCCGCTCATGGAGTAGAGGACCTCAGGAGCGGCGAACTATGCTTCATTAGTGGACCAACTACCCTGACATGCTGTCCGTGTATTTGCCCAATTTCTAGTACTTCTATCCGCTTTCTGAAGCCTGGTAGAGGCTAGCAAAGAAGGACAAAGTAGGGTGGAAGCTGGGGGGGGGGTAGTATTGAAGTCACGGTGAATAGAATATGCATGTACACGTGTCAGCTGTCCTTAAGAAGTAATTGTGGTCACACTAGGCTGGTAAAACATGTCTTCTCATGTGTGTAGAATATGGTCAAGATCCCGAGCCGAAGAATAAAGAGTTGTTATCGCCTCTTGTTCCAGGTGTAGACGACCTCTATAACCAGCGAATGAAAATTGACCAAAGTGACTTGTTTATTTTGCAGGTAATCGGTGCTCAGCTGAGAGACGTGTGGAAAGCCTACATTTTGACAATAGCCACGGTAAGTTTGGAGGAAAGCAAGGACTTAATGTATACAATTTATGTTTTGGTGGTCCTTAAAACCAAAAGAAGCGCGGGGACCGTATAGCCGTATGGACATAGCGCGCGCACATACACACGCACGCATGCACACGCACACGCACGCACGCGCACACGCACACACACACGTACGCACGCAAGCACACACACGCACGCACACACGCACACACACACACACACGCACACACACGCACGCATACACGCACGAACGCACACACACACGCACGCACGCACGCACGCACACACACATACACACACACACACACACACAC